ACAAAGAGAAACAGAGCATGAGTGGGGGAGGGGCAGAGAGAGAGGGAGACGCAGAATCCAAAACAGGCTCCAGGCTCTAAGTTGTTGGCACAGAGCCTGATGCAGGGCTCGAACCCATGAACTGCAAGATCATGACCTGAGCCAAAGTCAGACGCTTAACCGATTGAGCTACCCAGGCACCCCAAGATTGTATCCTTTAAATTTCTTAAAAGCACAGGCATAAAATATAGAGATTAATACTGTGCAATGACCACTAAAATTGTTCTTATTCCACTTCTAGAACTTGACTAGTCCAAAGAGAGCATTAATTGATTTTTTTTAATAATATGCTAGGCACTGGGCAGGTATAATCAAAACCTAGGTGTCTCTCTTGTGCGCGTGCACGTGCCAATATATATGAGTTTTATTCTTATAATTTTCTAAGGGTTTAAACATAATTTATTGCCAAGTTGGCTACCATACAGTGTATACACTGTGCTCTTGGCTTCAGGAATAGATTCCCGGGATTCGTCACTTACATACAACATCCGGTGCTCATCCCAACAAGTGCGCTCCTCAGTGCCTCTCACCAACTGTCCCCTCTCCCCCACGCCATCCCCCGTCAACCTTCAGTCTGTTCTTTGTATTTAAGAGTCTCTTATGAACACCTAGGTCTGTCTGGAGTGAAGGGCAGAAGCCAACCCTCTGCCTCATCAGAACAGCCATCTCCTCCCCCCACCCCCTATAGCTCAACCTCTAATTTTTTTTATTTTCCTTTTTATTGTTTTCTTTTTCCTCTCTGTTTTTTTTAAGCACGAAGGGAGAATACTCAAACTCTAATTTTATTAATGAAGCAATAGGGGCAAAGAATATTATGCTTATGTTTTCAAGGATAGTAAAATGAAAGTGTACTGTTTTATAAAAAATTTCCGAGGAAAATGCACTCATTGCTCAGACAATTAAGTTTACAATTTTCTGATACTTTCTCCCTCCCCGCTGCCGAGTGGGGAAGGTTTACATTCTTCATTATATGCCTTCATTCATCACCTAGCCCCTAATGACTTACAAACTTCCTTATCATTTTCATTGGTTTTATTCAAGAGTAGAGACATGTCTGCCTCTTGTGTTTTTGAGAGCTATTCCTTGTCTTTCTTTTTCGTATTGAGATATAATTGACATACAATATTGTATCCATTTCAGGTATACAACATGATTCGATATTTGTATATATGTTGTGAAATTACCACTACAGTAAGTGTAGTTAACATCTGTCAACATACAGATACAGATGATTTTTTTGTGTGACAGGAACTTTTCATTCATATCTACTCTCTTAGCAGCTTTGAAATATATAATACAGTGTTGCTAAGCGCAGTCACCCTGCTGTTCCATTACATCCCCATGACGTGTTTTTTTCTATAACTGGAAATTTGTACCTTTTGACTCACTGCACCCGTTTCACCCAGCCTTGTCTTTCATGGTCGCTTAATGCGCTGGATTCCACCTCACAGAATACTTCTCAGATTTTGCACAAAGTGTTCCTGCTCCAAGTTTGTGGGCTCACAGAAATCCTCACTACCAGTCACTGCCTTCCTGTGCCCTGCCCCCTAAAATATCCATGTTAGGAACAATGCCAAACAGCTAAGCTACTTTCTGATCCTTCCCTCATGGTGTCCTCCTTCCCAGACTCAGTAGCTAATAACAGAAACAAATCATGGTTCATAGTGGCCTCATAAGACAACTGTAGTGTAAGGGATTGGAGAGGCGCCTCCACCGTGTAGAATCACTGTTCTTTCAGCTACCGAGTAAAGTATACAGAGACATTCCTGACCCTACCCCATCCTGACCTCGCTCTCATAGGAAGACCCTCTTCATCTTTTAATGAGCGGGAAAGATCCTAAAGATATTTTTTAAACTCAGATTGGATTGGGTGAGCCTTTTCAGAGAGTCATTCAATCCAGAATGCTCAAAGTATGTGATGTGAAATATCATGTGTGTTTATTACTGAGTGTGCTGTTAGAAGTTTAGTTGGGGTCCTTAGTGAAGATTAAGTGATTATTCTATAGCCAAAATACTCCCTCACCCACCCATCCCAAATTAGCAGTGTGTATTATATACCCCAAGTCAATATGTTCCTATAATCAGGAAGCCTACAAAAAGCTCAGGTGCCTCCCTTACATCAAGGGTCAGTAAACTTTGTATAAAGGGCCAGATAGTAAATAGTCTAAGCACTACAGGCCTAGATACTTTATTACATTATTCTCTGTTGCAGTGCTTAATTCTGCCATCACTGGAAGACAGCCATAACCAACATGTAGACAAATGAACATGATTTGTATTCCAGTAAAAACTTATTTATGGACACTAAAATTTGAATTTCATGTAATTTTTACATGCAATGAAATAGTCCTCTTGATTTCTTTCAACCACGTACAAGTGTAAAAACCACTGTAAGCTCAACGCTTGCACCAAAAACAGGCCAAACACTGATTTAGCCTGGGAGCCACAGCTTACCACACTCTGCTATAGATTTTCAAGTGTAAAGGATAGAAATGCCATTATTAAACGGCCAAAACACAAGTAAAAGTAAGACTGTTAGAATGGTGAGGAAGAAATTAGAGAATACGAAGTGCCTACTTTGGAGGTACAAGGAAGTTCGGAGAGCACCTGAGACAAGGAAGTGTCCCCAGGATGGGCCACCCGAACCTGTAACATCCCTCCTGAGGTGAGACCAGAAGTTCTTGAGTCCTCCTTGCCTCTGCTTCCTTCCCAGGCGTGTCCCAGCTCTGGGTCCCCTTCCCCTCACTTTATCTGGAACGGCAAGGGGAGTCATACAGAGGTGACGCTTCTCCATCCACCCTACAGTTGAGAAAGCCCTGGATTCTTTCCTTCCTAGACTTTCCACTCTCTGTGGCTGGTTCCTAATGACACAGGAGAGAGCTAAGAGAGGCCCGTTGGCAACACAGCCCGCTAGCTGAGCTCAGTGCCCCAAGGATGGATGTGTCCTTGAAGACGTGATTTATATCAAGCTCAGCTTCTTCCCACCCATGCTTGTGATAATAAACGTCCCAAACATCTAGGGTGGCATACAAATCAAAGCATGTTAACAGTTGCCATTGCTACACTATGGAGGAGTTAGGGGGTTTGCTAAATTTTTATTATTCTTTTTTTAATTCCCGTTCACCTTTGGTCAATAGACACCTGCAAATGAAGATTTTTGTTTCTGTAGGATAGCCAGAATGCGTCAGAGGGTGAGGTTTGGGGCTAATCCACTCAGTAGGCTTCCACTTGAAAGGAGTTCTTTGAGAATAACCTGGAGCTTTCTGTAGCCCACCATTAGAGCGTCAATATTTTTAGATGTAATGGGTCTGTGCAGTTCAGTCACTTCTGAAAGGATCTCCTGATCCTGAAAGGACCCATATGGATAGAATTTATTTCACGGTTGGGTGAGAAATGTTGGGTCCAGTTCAGGCTAGGTTCTCGCACGTAGGTGTCCCTTATACTATCATTTACAGGGCCCAGTACTTGTGTGTGTGTGTGTGTGTGTGTGTGTGTGTGTGTGTGTGTCTGTGTGTGTGTGTGTGTGTGTGTGGTAGTTTTGGTGATTCATTCAAGCACTTGTTTGATATTTATCCTAGGCTCCAAGGATACTGAAATGGTAGAGGCCTGGTCCTTGACCTCCACATATTCAGAAAATGGTCGAGGAAAAGGCACCTAAATAAAATCTTTATGATATATTGTGATAGATGATGTCATAGAAGTAAGAAATGAATAATTTGGGAATGTCTGAGAAAGTAGAACTAACTTTGAGGATATGACAGAGTTTACAAGGGAAAAGAATTCTACATTCCACTGTAACAGAGTGCAAAGCGCTGGATTTGGAGCCAAACACTTCTTTTTTTTTTTTTTTTTTCTGACTTCGGGCAAGTTACTTTCCTACACTGAGCCTCAGTTTTCTCATCTGTAAGGTGGGGTTAACACTACTCACTTTGCACAGGAATCGGCCCAAAACTCCCTTTCCTGTTGTAGGTCCTTTTCACCAAAGACTGTGTGAGGCCAGGAATCCTACCGTTGACTATTGAATGGAAGGAATAGGAGAGATCACTTTTTGTGGGGTTGCCTGGGGACAGGGCTTCCATTCTGAGTGAGAGCCCGGAAAAAAACACACCTGGGTCAACCATTGTCTCTCTCCCCCTGGGAGTTCATTTGGACAATGGATAGTGTATCTTTTCCCAGCAAAGCCTTTGCATATTTTACTGTCCTTACAAGTTGACTGAAGGACCTGGTCAAATTACATACTTCTTCAGACTGCTTTTCACCATGAGTTTCAACACGAGACCCAACTTGATGATTCCTCAGGGCTCACCGTAATTAAATCACTGAAAAGGGTATTTAAACTTTACACTCTGAAGCTATCTAGGATTCCTGTCCAGGAGACAAGCAAAAAGTAGATGGTTTATGAATGACATGTACTTCATACCTCATTTCTGGGGAGTGGTGGAGTGCTTTACCTTTTCATGAAATTCTGTACATTCTCAATGGCTGATAAATGGATGTCATGTAGTAAAACAGCTTTAAGCCATCTAAGTGATGTACATTTGGGGAGGAGTATGGAGACAAAACATAACTAATTACCCTTGATAATTCTTGGGAGTTCCAGCATTAGAGCCCAGTCAACCCTAGCTAGAGACCTAAAACGCCTCTTTAGTCACCCAGTTGTGATTGGATCCAGCAGTGATCAGTTTACGCCTTTTGATATTTTGACCGGAAAGTAACTCCCCCGTAATTGAGGGTGCAGGCGTTGACGAACTCTGCCAGGTGTCCCAACGGGAGAGACGAGATTGAACCCCCCCCCCCCGACCGACCCCCCACCCCGCTGGCGGGATGGTAAGGTTTCCGGACAGAAGGGCTACCAGATGGAAAAGCCCCCTGGAAAGCCGCAGTTTCCCCACACGTAGCACTGTCTTGGTTATTACGGAAAAGCGATGGAGCACCAAAGCGTGTGTCCCTTTTTCTTCCAGGAGAGAAACCGTACAAGTGCACCTGGGAAGGCTGCACCTGGAAGTTCGCGCGCTCGGACGAACTGACAAGGCATTACCGCAAACACACGGGAGTGAAGCCATTCAAGTGCGCGGACTGTGACCGCAGCTTTTCCCGGTCGGATCACTTGGCACTGCACCGCCGGAGGCACATGCTGGTGTGAGGAGTGCTACCTGTCCAGCTGGGCGTGAGAGCTGGGTCTCTTAGCGGCACCCAATTCAGCAGGGCTGAATCCCCGTCACAGTGTTCACACAAAAGGGCATCACCATCCCACGATGTCTGAACCCAGAGCAGGAAAAGGAAGGAACTCTCCTCCTTGCGGTCTGAAGGTAACCCCCATCACGACCACACGAGAAACGTCTTCACGCTGGCCTGGGAGACCCGTGACACAAATGCCGAAGAGCCAGGCATCGTTTCCCGTGCTGTGTACTCTGCCATTTCAAGATGTCTGTAGCGTGTACGTTTTCTGAGCTGTCAGACATTTTGTTACCGATACCATAAAGGTCGTCTACCACAAATTGCTGGCTAGAGCAAGACCTTTTAAATTTGGATTCTTCTCCCCATCATCCCACCCCTTACCCTCTTTTTACTGAAATTTTAGTTACTGTCTCAGTAAGATAGAACACACATCCAATCTGTTACCAGCAAGCAGCATGAAAGTAGAGAAGAAGAAGCCTGTTGGAGAGGTTCCATTACCTGAAAATAAAGGGGCACTCAGGCAGCCCTTTGCAATAGCGATGACGGCAACTAGATATCACCCGCAACTTGTCATTCTGCCATGCCCTGAAGAAAACCAACATTGAACCTTTCATTTGTTTGTCGTTGATTGTTTTCGTTTTGTTTTGATTCTGTTTTGTTCATCTGTTCGAGCAGAGGGGCAGCGACATTTCAGTTGGAGCCCAGTCTCGGTGTCTGCCCTGGCATGGACTGGCACAGAGGTGTTCTGTAGTTGAATAGGAAGAGCCTGTCTAAAAAACTACTGCCCCACTTCAAATTGCAGTGTTCTGTCACCTAGGCATCATCTCTTCCTGCCCCTAGTATTTGATTACAAGGAATCAGGGGAAGAAAAAAAAAAAACTTTCTTAGACACACTGGCACCAAGGTAAGAGGTGGGGCTGCTCAGGCAAAGTCAGTGAACATGAAAAATCAGACAAAGCAGAGATGGAATAATGCGCCTCTTGAGGAGAAAAGCAATAATGAATAAAAGGACTTGCCTACAATAACTTCACTGAGGACTCACGTTACCAATTTTCATACTTACTAAAGGGATTGTAAAAAACACCCTAGCATTTTAGATGCTTTGGTTACATTCACAGCCCTGAGGTAATCTTTCTGCTGTTTGTTGTCCTGCTTGGTTGAGTCCCACAATTAAAGAGTATGCTCCCCTTTTCTTGTTTGAAAACAGTTATTTGGTGACTAGAAAAGCCAAGGAGGCATAGCAGGGAGTTAACCCGTGGGCTAATGGGTCAGTTCTCCTTGGAACCGAGTCAGTGGAAAGGGAGCGCTCCCCGAGGAAAGCCTGACATGGTGCTAGTATCCTCACTCGGAGAGCCAAGGCTGAGTGACTCTCCAATAGGTTCTTCTATATAGACTTCATTTTCTAAACCGTATCAGAACCCAGGGGTTCTACACTGGCATCTACGGGGATGTTGAACCCACTCATCCTATGCTGAGGGTGAGAGGAAGGAGATGATCATCCCGTCAGCCCCCTAAAATCATGAGCCTTTCTTGCAACTAGCGAAGTATACAGGAAACAAAGCAATACATCACCAACAAGCATTCTTTTAGAAAAATTATCATATGTGTTTCCCCACTAAGAGCTGGGTTGTTGTGTTTTTTTTCTTCAGCTTTACGTGGCGAAGGGGCTTGGTGAGTTTTTTTGTTATTGTTGTTGTCGTTGTTAAGATTTTTTATAGCTTAGATATAAAAAGTTGCCAGCATAGGCCTTTGCAACATATTTTAATCACAAACACTTGATTTGGGGAATTGCACAAATTAACCTCACGATATTCCTAGCTCATTTTTCAATGTTTGAACATTCTGAAATAATTTCCGGTTGTAGAACTATCCTTTTCAGGATCATCTTCTTGTTCAGAGAAACTTTAATGATGAAGCAAGAACTATAAACATTGAAACAAGGACAATTCATGTCGGATGGTATTAAAAGGAATTGTTTTTAAATGTTCAAGCAACAGCATCATGATTTTCAGGTCAAATTCCGTCTTCAAAAATACGTGCTCTGCATTTTCTGCCAGGTCTGAAAAATTCATCAGGCATCTTTCCTTCGAACAAGGGCTGCGATTCTATTGATAAACAGCTTCTTTTGCTACACAATCTTACTACCCACCAAGCACTGGGTTTTTTTGGTTGTTGTGTTTTTTTCTTTTTCTTTTTTTTTTTTTTTTACCAACTGGAAAATTTTTTTTATCTGTACTGTATACAATTCCTACTTCTCATTGCTTGTGACCATTTTGGAGAGAAACAGGTTTCTTGGCACACGCCAGCGTTGGTTACTGGTCAGTGGCAAGGAACAGAGAGAGCGGCCAACGTGGCCACGACGTGCTCACTGCTGGTCCTGGAACTTGGTTGGCTGTTAGTGGGTGAATCGCCCAGGCGCAGTGTAGACTTGATTTCGCTCTGCTTACTCTGGAGGGGTGGGGGGTGGGGAGTGGTGGAAGAGGGGGCAATCTTTTCTTTGTGGAGAGACATCTTGAGAGTGTTACAAGTAGAAATGGTTTTTAGAATTCATGGAACTGACAGGCAGTGGGAGCTTCCTGAGTGACAGCTTGACTTAAATTTAGCACAGAACTAAATGAGCTGCTCCTCTCTGATCACATCGGAAAGGTTCAGGGAAGCGAGCTTTTTCTCCACCCTCTGAAAGTAGAAACCAGACTGAGATGGAGATGGTAAGTTAAACGATAAACCTGTCAGCATTATGCCATTTCCCCCCTTTCGACATAATCGATCGATACTTCTAAAGGGGGATCCAAGCACAAGCAGTGAGTTGCTGATCTTCCCCCTACTCCCCCCCCCAGATGAAAACTTACTTGGGGCGCATCCCAGGACATAGCAAATTCTCCCCGGTGAGTTTTCTACTTGTGTTTCCCCATGGAAAGGAAAGTGATTTGGGAGAGAAGGAATTGCATTTTTAAGTACGAATATCTTCAGGCATGGAAAAGCCTCCTCCATTTCATCTATATGCATTCTAGCCTCTTTTAAAAAGCACAGTAGTAGATGATGAACAACAGTAAAGGGGCAGAATCCAAAGGACTTGTCAGTTCCTTAACTAGAATCATTCTCTGGTTTTCAATTTGGAGCTGTTCAGTTTGCAGTTGGACGCACATGCGTGTTTTGAGAGTTGCTGCACAGGCAGCCTCTGTGGCTGAGAATGGCTTGAGAAGCTATAGTAGACCTGACTATCTCTGCATTGTAGAGATGGAGTTCAAGGGAGTTAACAGTTTTTGAAAAAGTTACAAGTTACTCTGAGGTCTTGATAGATGCCCTCCCCATATTCTGATCTTGAGTTGTTAGGAGAAAGAGTCACGCTTCCCTATCCACCTCCAGCCCCATCCTGTAATTATGTATGGACTCTGAGAAGCCTGCTTGATACCTTGTCTTAAGTTGTATTAAGACATTTAGACGAAAATTCCTAATGGCTTTCCCATAAAGAATGTACTACTGCCTGGCATTACTTCGACAAAACACTATAGGACATTTATTAGCAAAAGCAGTTGACAGTAACACAAACTGCATTTAAAAAAAAAAAAAGAGCACTTTTTATTCACTTTAAGTGGAAAATAGGAGGGGAAATTGTGAGGGACGGGGAGAAACCTTACAAAATGCTACAGTGTTTACAGATGCCAGTTCTAGGTGATTAGAAAGGCCATTCTCACTCTGGTTGAAATTTGAACAGCTTATACAAAGATGGTGTTCATTTTTATACAACTTTTTTTAAACTTCCGATTTTGCCATTTCTGTTTTAAACGTAAATCTAATTCTGCACTTTGAAGTCAGTTCATCAGAATGATAACATGTATATGGATAAAGATGCAGTATTCCTTATTCTGTACTTTATTTATTTATACTTACCAAAGCTGCAAATGAATAAATCTGGTGAGGTGAGGCCTTCAAATGTATTCCTACGCCTTTGTTATGTTGTTATGACTGCTAAGAAATGTAGCCATGATGTTGTTAGAAAGGTGTCTTAACATTTATAGCAAGGATTGACAGAAATTAAGCAGTGTTAAGAACACCAGCATAATAATACACTGAGCTATAGTCTTCATGTAAGGGACTGAATGAGAGAGAACTCTCATGAGTCCTTCTGGGCCCAGGAAGCCTTAATACTCATAGTGCATAGTCTCAGATTTTGCTCTGTACTCAACGCCTGTAAATCTAGGAGGTTCAATGTATTCTGTAACTTCATTGACCAAATCTCTTCCTTCAGTTTGTCTGAGGTAGTGCATCTCATTAAGCAAATCTTCCCATCCGATATGCTTTTGTTCAGAAAAGGGGTTTGGTAAGTCACGTCTTCCATATTTCATTTCTACTTGCCCCCACACTGCCTTCCACTTACCTGTATAGGCACCCCCACCACATACACACCTGTATATGCAGCAGCCGGTGGGCTCGCAAATATCAACAGAGAACTTTTTTAAAAGAATGAATTTGTAATAATCCATGCTGTCTAGAAATGTAAGTTATTTACCTTATTAGGGAATCAGCTTATAATGCTATGTATGACTCTGCCTGCATTTTATAGTCAAGAAGTGTACATAAAAATTAAAAATGCTATATTTTCACAGTTTCATTATAGAGTAATATCTGTTTAGTGACCCATGTCCATTGGTACTTTAAATATGCTGAATACTGTGCAGTTGCAATAGAAATTCAGATTTTCATAAGAAAATGAAATAGGATACTGCATCTTTACAAAAAATAGAGTGAAAATATTTTGCTGTATTCGTAAACATATGTGATAGTGGAAAAGTATTTTCAAACTCACAAATTTTACAGAGGTTGTAAATAGTTTGATGAAGTATGTTGGGAAAAAAGAGCTTCTAGTTTTCATCACAATAAAAAAAAAAAAAGAAACTTGTTCAGATATGCCTTGTATATCTTACAATTAGCAATATTGCCATGGGAACCGTGTTCCACTTCGTCAGAGTGCATTCTTTGTGCTCTGACCAAATGGAGTGGTCACTTGTCTCAATTTAGCCAGGATGGTTTAAAACACAGTGAAGTCATTTTAAGTTGCAGACAACTGATTCCAAATTCGAAATGTCTTTTTGCCTGAAAAGGAAAAAACAGCCGCCCAGGATTTTACTTGTGCTAAAGAGAAGCATCTAGCAACTGTTCTCTTTTCTCAATTCTCTTCCTCCCCAGTGAACTAGTTCTTGAAAAACAAACAAAAAACAAAAAGCAAAACAACTGTAAGGTGTTGATTCTTGTTTAATTCCAGAGGGAATGAATACTTTTAAGAGTAGCTACATGTTGACAAGATGAAGTGCTATGGATATGGCTACATGTTCAATGTATCTGTACTGGCAGCAGGAATAAGCTGATGCCCATTTTCAGAAGTGAATTAAAAGCTGAAAGTGCCTGTCAATAGACATTATGACCAATGAGATATTCCTATGCTTTTACATAGCAATAATTCTTCATTAGACCGGGTGTTTCCTCCACACTTGGGAAACACACACACATACACACACACACACACACACACACACACACAGAATAAATATATGCACATCATAAGTTGAGAAAGTTCAAACACCCACAATAATTCTTTTGTGATTTTTGAATATACGTAATCTTGTTTACGTTAGTATTTCTTAATTTAATCTTACAGAATGTAAGAGTGCAAATCTGAACATTAATGTTATCATCAACATACACTCTGGTATATGGCAATTATAATTTTAAGGTCAAATCTTCACTGATTTGCCCCAAACTTGCAGAGTACTGTGTGTGGCTCAAAAGAAAAGGTGTTGCTCAGTTAACAAAAGTCAAATTATTTAGAGCAAAACACTAGAGATACTTGTTTGTTTTACTTTTTCAACTAATATCAAGTGCACAAATTCATCTTTACATTTCTTCATTTTCTTTCTCTTTAGTATTTTCTGTTTATCCTACAAGAACCACTTTAGAATGTATATCGACACAATCATTTCTCTCTAAAACAGTCTCCTGAACACTGCTGACAGTTAGTAAGACTAGCTTTAACCAAGATTTGCAGTTAGTCTTGGATATTACCCGATTTACATTCAGAACTTGCCTACTTTTTCCTGTAATTATTTTACTGCTAGAAGTGGAGTCCCGAATAGAAATATACAATGAGATTACACGAATAGACAAGAGCCCTGGAAATTCTCCAGCCTTACCATCTCTGAGCACAAATCCACCCAAACAAGCTATTGAGGGCTATCAGTAAAATTATATTCTTTCAGAGCCAAACATTTGGTAAGAGCAATTTTAAAAAAATATAACTGTGATTAAACACTTAGGCTTTAGACAGTGAAGGCTACCACGGTGGACAGTGGTCTATGTATTTCTCCATAACCAGACCGCAGGCCTAGAAAACCATTCACTAGTTCCTTCTCTAAATTACAGAAAGAACGAAAAGGAGAAGGAAATGTGCCAGGATAGGGTGTTAAAGAACAAATTAAGTGTCCGAGGAAAGCTGCTGGGTTCTTAAATCTCACTAAAGTCAAGTCTCCTGACTGGGCTGTTTCTTGCAGGTTGTCTCAAAGTACTGAATGAAGTTGAAAGGTCAGACGTTCAGCAAACCATGGATACAATAGCTGTCCTTTACTAAACCCTTACAATCCACCAAGCATTCTACTAGGGAATCTTTGGACACATTGCCTCTATTCCATAAACAGGTCTACATTTTATAGTTGGGATACTGAGGCACAGAAAGTGGCTGAGTCGTCTGCAAACAGAAATAGTGAACAGCAGAGTGAGAATGTGAAGCTACCTATCTCTGGTCTGAAGCCCGTGTTCTTCCCACTGCACCACGCTGCACGTGGCTTTCCTGCAGCCAAGTTTTCATATTTCTGACTCAAGTTGTTTTTATGGCCGGCTGGTCTGTTTTTCCAAGTAAGATATAGCACAGGATATGACAATGGTCCTAATACCTGAAATCAGCCCTCTCCTGGGAAGTCCTGCATGAAGGGTCATTATAAACAAACAGCAACAATCAGATGTCTCCCTGAATTTGTCACTTTCCTCCGAAAGGTTTGGCCTCGAGATCCCAAATCATTAAAACTCTCCCCTGCTTGGTAACATTTTAGCCAGAGTGGGTTTTCTTAATT